GGAAAGAGAGAAGCGTGTCTCGAGGGGCCATGCCGCCTCATGCTTTTCTCTTTTTTGATTTAAATATAATTTTTAATAGTTATTTTCTTATTAATTATTTGTTAGATGAACATCAATTGTAGACAAGGGATTATTTATTTCCCTTCGTGTACAGTTATGGTCCAAAAAAAATGATTTCATATTTGTGAATGGATGATAATATCGAGTATAACGACATGATCCTTGAGGTATGGTTAGCTTCCATTTTAATGGTCAAAAAGCAGCCAAGTATAGGATTTTCTTTTGTTAAATGCTCCGATTAAATAATTAACATAAAGGAAGATATATGAATAATTAATCATGATTTTAATGTGAAAAGTTTTGTGTCTCACTCCATTCATTGCCCGGGGCCTATAGATATTTCCCCAACCGGTCCAATAATAACGGGGTTAGTGATTACATAAAAAAACAATATCTTCGAAGTTTCACATTGATTGTACCGCCGGACCAAACAAACAAACTAATTAAATCAAGATTAATATGGTCCACAAGTCCGGCTAATTAACGACCCGAGATTTGGTTTTGTTATAATTACAAAATTTTGTGCGCGCTAATTTATCCGTAGTTTCATGAACTCGGCTTTTGATTTGGTTTATTATCCCAGATTTTCCAATACTAGATTTTTTTTTTGTGGGTGTCCCAATCATCACTCGTGAGTGTTATATAATCATGTTTATTAATTTCCGAATTATCTATGATACATCATACATGTTCACATAAATAAAAAAAACATATAGAAATTAAATCCACTGTAAGAATTAAGAAACACACCAAATCTTCTATATACGTTGTTGTCCAATTCTAAGTTGTGTGCATGTACAAGGTCACAGATGAAGGGAAGGGATTAATTACACGTGAAACATATTTTGTGACGACATAAATGTTTCGGTTGAAATAAGATGGTGATTTTTAATTAATCATCACATGAAATAAAATAAAAAATGAATACGGTTGAAGAGATCTTTTTCCAAACGCAAATGGTGGCAACATACTATAAAAAGCGGTCCATTTATATTATACGTTTTAACGCGAATATTCAAAGATACATAAAAAAAATTTTACTAAATTAAACCTGAATCGCATGACAACTGCTTCGATTGCCACGTCGGATGACATGCTATCTATAATCTTTTTGCATATCGTGGGTCCAAGATGAACCCCCACTGCGCACATTTGCATTATTTTATCTTATACCATTATTTAATAAGGAAGAGATACGCTCAGAGGACAAACTGATAATTAAAAAACACGGGAAACATAAGCCCCTAAGGTATACGAAAGGTCGTTCGGACCAATCAGCAACCCTGTCGCCACGTCAGAAAGATGCAAGAGGGCATCGACCAACCACCAACTTAGGTTAAAGATTCACGACGGCCAAAAATATGTGTGCACGATCTATAGATGAGTTTAGAGAGGTGTGCGGTTGAGGTTATTGAATTGGCTCAAAGGAGAAAGTGGGCCAACTCGAATAATTGGCCCCACGATGAAGAGCCCAAAACGAACCAGTCTCTTCTGCATTTCCACAGCAATTTCCAACACACAGATGACGTCGTCGCCGTTTCTCGTCCGAAATCAGGCACGTCTTGTCCGTTTCTCGGAGATGGGGTCTGTACTGTAACGTGACCAAACCCCTGATCTGATCGAGTTTCCATCTCCCAGAATCTTTCTTCGCAACTCATATACCGAGTCGTTCTGGCACTTCGAAAGCAAGTACCATCACAAGGTACCGAGTCGCACCACTCTCCAAGCCATGTCCGACTCGTATAGCAGAGGAGAGTTCGCACCTGTGGACCCTTCTGGGAAACCATGTCTTTGAGCTATGGAGAGAGAGAGAGAGAGAGAGTTTAAAACATCATAGGACTGTTCTCCATGAAGTACGAGGAAATGATGGAGGAGCCTCTGGTTCAGATTAGCACAAAAAGTCCTGACTAAGGCTTGGAAGAACATTCTTAACGTACAAATAGATGATTTGCTTCTGAAAGATCACAGGGAAGGAAGTTGCCGGATTATACTAAAACGTTCCCTTGATAGCTGATAACTAACATCTATCCAGAAAACATAACGGGTTTAACGAGATTCTACAAAATGTTCTTGAAAGGTAGCGAACCTCAAGTGCATCATTCAGCATCAGGGTCTCCCAGTAGAAATGACGATGGTGCGTCTGCTCCAAGCAGCGGAATATACTCTGATCCTCTTAGATGAACGCTAAAGCATGCTGGCAAACACAAGCACGCAACAAATTATAGCCAACAGTGTTAACTCGAAACATGCGTCAGGTTAAACGTTGAAGTGAGTGTCCGAACAGGAAAACGATGATGCTAATTTGTCATACCGTTTTCTATTTTGACGACACTTTGAAGCATTACTTCCATCTTGCTCTTCATGTCGTAATTATCATCCATGTGGGGCACAACTAGCATCAGTTCTCTGTAAATCTGTCGGACAAACTGGCAAATCCTCTCCGCGAATTCAACTTCACCGTCTGATATCCGACCGATAGCCAAACGCATCAGTTCTCCAGTCAAGTCCGCAAGCTATGCATCAAAATCATAATCACCCATTTAGAAATCTCGAATGGACAATAACCATATAAATTTGAATTCCAGAAAGTCGGTAATTACCCCGAGAAGATAGTCAAGGACATTGATTTGCAGTGGCTCCAAGGACGTTTCGTTAAGTGCTAACAAAGTAGAATTGATCTCATCGAGAAACAAAAGTTGCCCAGTTAAGCAGAATTTGTAGAAGGATGCAGCTTCAACATACTCCTGCACCTGGAATAGCCCGAACATAATCTTTCAGTACGGTTGGCTTAAGAAACTAAGGCCTCAAAATAATGTCATCTCACCCCGGGAGAATAAGCTCGTCTAAGCTTCCAAAAGTCGGTCCCTTGAAGCTCTTTTATTAGACGGTAAATGTGCTGCTTTCTCACTGCTTCTAAATCCTTTCCCGCCTTCTCAAGGACCTCCTCTTTGTTGTTTTTACCCAGTCTGCCACGGCAAAAACAATGGTATGTGTAGTTAATGTACACATACAATTGGAAACAAGGGTATAATTGGCCGGTGAGCTGATTTACAAGAAAACATGTAAACTGTAGACATGACAAGAATATCAAATTTCAAAACCTTTTGCTAGGTTAAGAGAAGCTTCAGAGATAAACCATGAGTCAAAAATGGAGAAAAAGAATCACAGAAACGGAGAAGGTGAAGTTACCTGTGGACCTGAAATATAACCTTTTTGCTGTTCATGGTGATATCACGACTAACTTTCACCA